AGCATTGTAGTGAGACCCTGTACCAAATACAAAAAAAAAAAAAAAAAGACCCCATTGTTTCCCAAAGCCAAAACTGTGTGAATTAGGACAGCCCTCCACACAGGCAGTTAGCCTTTCAAAGGAGAGCCACTCCAGAAAAACTCCAGGAAGACTGATGTCAAACAATGTCTTAGCAGATCTGTTCTCCATAGCCAAAGAGGTGAAGTGGATTTGGGGAACATGCCCAAGTTTTCCTTCTCTACCTTGTCCCGTCATACTCAGAGACACACTGAGAGGCTTGCCAAGCAGTCTGAAGACACAAACTCATCAGTGGTCTGTCTGTAACCACCTCTCTTCCTCCTCAAACCACAGTTAGTGGCAAGCACTCCTGCACACTCTGCAGCCAAGAGATGGCTGCCAAAGGCTTTGTGGCCAGCACTATCTGTTATTTATGCCTAGAAAACATTACAGCAGTGGCTACAGCACTAAGACCATCAGCACTCCACTCTATGCCAACTCCAGGTAAAGCCCCAGAACCAAGTCCCCACGGACAGAATGAACTACATACACCACCTGCAACCACAGAGGGCCGCTTCTGCTGCCCCTGAACGTGATCAGAAATCAAGAAGTGTGACGCTTTACCATATTGTGTGCTAATGTGCCGCACAAGATGTTTTCTGAACATAAAGGGTTTCTCTTTAATGTATCCCTTTTGTTTTCAGTAAAGGATTATGATATAATTCACACCCGAAATTCATCTATCTAAGTATACAATTCAGTGATTGTTAGTTTCATTATATTTAGAGCTGCGCAACAATCACCACAATCAACTTTACAGTATTTTTATAAATTTGAAAATAGGCCCTGCAACTTTTAATTCTCAGCTCCCAGCCACCAACCCCGAGTACCTAGCAACTCATCTATGCCATTCTGGATTTGCATCTCTGGACATTTCATCTGAAAGGAACCTTAGGATATATGTGTTTCTAGGGATCTCCTCCTTTCACTTAGCATGACATTTTCAAGGTTCACTCATATTCTGGCATCAGTACCTCATAAATAATATTCTATTACATGGATTTACTACTTCACTCATCCATTTTGTTTTTTCCCACTGTGATATTATGACCGATTCTGCTGTAAACATTTGTGGAAAATGTTTTGCATGGACACATTTTTCACCTAGCACTAGTATTGCTGAGCATTATGACTCTGTTTAAATGTTTGAGGAACTGTGTCTCAGACACCTGACACGCAAAGTTAAGGAAGGAAAGGTTTATTTAGCTCACAGTTTGTGAAGGTTTCATTCCATAGTTGGCTGGCTCCAAGGCAAACTGGCACATGGAAGAAAGCAGCAGTTCATGGCTGCAGAAAACAGCGAAGAGCAAAGGGAGAAGCAGCAGCTGCCTCTCTCTCCTCCTTATATTACAAGCAGATCACCCTGGGGTGGCAATGTAGAGCTACACAATGTCCATGCCCTGCTCTGGCACAGGATGAGGATGTTTACAAAGTAATAACCCTGGCTCCTTGCTGAGTCACTTAAACTTCTGAACTCCTCAAGTTGACACAATGTACCAACCAGTACAAACGGCCAAGCTGTTTCCCCAAGTGACTACATAACTTTGCATTCCCATGAGCAAAGTGAGAGTTTCCAATCTCTTCACATCATTCTCAACACTGTTGTCCCTCTCAATTACGGCGATATCTCACTGTGGTTTTAATCTGCATTTTCCTGATAACTATTGATGTTTAACATTTTTCCTGTGTTTTATTAATATTTATATCTTTAGGGAAATGTCTATTCAGATCCTTTGCCCATTTTTAAATTGGGTTGGCTTTTTTTATTAACAAAAGGCCTGAATATTGAATGAATCTGTAGCTGTACTTTAAAATACAACCCCCATACAGAAAGATTGGATTCCAATTTTATGTCTCCACCAGGAAATAAAAGAGCATTCTGGGAGAATTACAGTCCTTAATCTTGTCTTCATCTTTGTGACCCATGGATACTTTCAAGAATCTAATGACCACCAGTATTAATAAAGCCCCAGAAAAATACACACAAGCATATTTATTTTATATTTAATATCAGAGATTTTCTGGACCTTCCACCATTATCTTAAAGAGGTGCTTTGTACTTTGTGATATTGGGGATCCAACACCAGGGCATCTTGCGCGCTAGCCAAGTGCTTGACAAGTAAGCTACAGCCCAGCTCTTGATTTTTGAGATAGAACCTTGAGTTTCCCAGGCTGGGTTCCAACAATTAAAATCTGTTTCGTTTGTTTTGGTGGTGATGCTGGAGAACAAACTCGGGGCCCAGCACATGCTAGGCAGGTGCGGTATCACTGAGCTACAGCCCCAGTCCTTCTATGAGGAGTGTAAATCTGCTTCAGATTGGATCTCAATCACGGAACCTGGCCTTCATGGCTACCTAAAATCACCGAATTCTATATTCCCACAGAGAAAAAGGTGAGAACTACGTTTTTCGAATCAGTTTGGAGACAGATTTTACGGAGGGTCACTTCAGAGGCCCAGTCTACCATTCCCTGAAGCTTTCCCTCTGACCAGCCCAGGCCATGAGAGCTTCTTTCCATTTGGAGGGCCCCTCAGCACGGGTTTCTCTGGACTCCACTTCAGCCTTATGCTCTTAGCACTCATTGAGGCTCACTGCAAGGAAGCTGTACAGGTGCGTTTGTTTTCCTTATTTAGTACAGGGTCTTGCTACACAGTTCAGACTTGTAGAAATCTTCCTGTCTTGGCCTCCCCAGTGCTGGGATTACAGGCATGCACCACCATGCCTGGTTTCGGTGGCCAGCATGGCACGGCCAGTGTTCTGGGGCCAACGCAGCATGTGGTGCTGGGATCGAACCTGGGTACTTATGCTTGTCAGCCAGGCTCTTAGACTGCTGAGCTATCGCCTCAGCCCTCGGATGTTTCATTATCAACTGTGAAGACGCTGCATGGCTTCTCAGTGCTTGTACACCTGACCAAGTGCTCACACACATCTAGGAAAAGCTGTGCTTCTTGGGAACCCATGTTTCAATATTGCACATACTGTTAACATTTAATAGTGTTTTTTCTTCTGCTTTTGTCCCTAACAAGCCCAGAGGTAATTTTCCTGCCTGCCCCTAGCAACTGGGTTGGATAACTTATTTGTGAATCAGTGTTTTCAGGCATCATTTCCCTTTACTTCCATTGTTTCTTCTGGTGTTTTTCAAAACTTTATTTTTGTAGCCCTCAGGAGCTCAGGCCCTTGTGCTTACTGGGCAAATGAACTATATCTTTGGTCCTGTTTGTTTCTTCTTGGTGCATTTTTGTACTTTACTTCAAGCTGTTTTAGAATAAGCCAACAAAACCCCTGTCATTGTGCATTCCCATACCATTCACGAGCACTGTCACATTCAACTACATCCTCAGACATGTGGCTTACAGTTATTTTTCTCACTTTTTACCTAAGTACAGAAAACAAAATTGTCCAAACAGAAAACGAACTTACGAGGGGCCAGTGGGTCATAATAAAATTTTGATTTTTTTTTTTTTTTCTTCTGAGTGTAAGTAGAAGCCTGGAAGGGTTTCAAGAGAGGTACCAGTGACAGTTTGATTTTCCTAAAGGCCAGCTTTGGAGGCTGTGCTGGACATATTGATGTTGGGTGTTGGACTAATACCAGGTAGGAGGCAGGTATTAGATTCTCGCCAGAATCTAGGTGAGAATTTGCAATAGTTTAGAAAGATGGGGTAGTGGAGAAGAAAAATGACTGGATCTGAGACAGATGTGGAGACAGGATTGACAGGACCTCCCAATGGGCTGGATAGAGGTAGGAGTAAGGAAGAAATTGTAAGGGTAGCTCCTAGGAGCTGGCAAAGATGGGACTATATTCTGAGGTGAATCAAGTTCTTTGGAAAAGGTTAAGTTATACAGTGCTAATCAGAGATTCAAGTGAAGGTCTTTAATAAGCATCTTGGTAGGTGAGAGACCAGCTCTACAGAGCTGTGGCTTTCAGGGTCACAGGTCTGTGGACCACAGTAAGAGCTTGATAACAATGGAGGGGCCAGGGAGATGGCTCAGTAGGATAAGCGCTTGACTGGCAAATGCAAAGATCTGAGTTCAATCCCCGGTTCTGCCAAAAAAAGAGGAAAATTCTACAGTATGCTGACTAGAAAACCCTAAGATGCCACTGCCACATATACAGGGAAGGCCTATGAAGCAGTGACATGGAATAGCCAGGAAGACAAGACAATGAACACCAGATACCAGAACAGCTGAGAACTGATTCTCTAAGACTGATTGATTAGGTCACAAATGAAAGAGAGCAGGTCAGTAGCTTCCTGGGAGTGAGGGAAGAAAATGGGAGGGGAAAAAACTGGAGAGTCATTGTACATAGCACTTTCAAGAAACAGGGATGAAAGGGAGCCAATACATGGAGTACTAGACAGAAAGGCATACAGTATTGTGGTTTGTTTTCAAAGGACAAAGAAGTATCTGTGTTGCTGTTAAAGAGTACTAGAGGGGGATGTCAGAACCATGCCTTGGGCTGGCAAGGACACTGCAGTACTTGTCCCTTCTTGTGGTTAGTGCACATTCCAACTTGCTGTGCAGGATCCAACTCCTATGGGCCACAGCTACTAGTACCCTCCAGGGTACAAGCCTAGCCCTGCTCTCCTCCCTCTTCACAACCTCTCTGGCTGTCCTTATCTCTCCCCTGGCTTCAATGCCTCCTGGGTTTAACATGCAGATCCCTGTACAGGTCCTGCAGATGCTGAGTATTTTCAAGCGTGTCCAGCGGACCGCCACACACAGCAAAGCCAGTCCCTGCCTCAGTGCCAGCCTCTCCTCTACTTGAAGCTGGAGCAAGAGGTCATCGCCATGGTCCTTCCCTACCCTAGAAACCCAGGTTTAATACACCTGTAGCAAAACCAGCATACTGACCCACGTCAGTGTGACCCTAGAAACCTTGCCTCTACTACACACTGCCCTGAAGGGAGAAGCCTACAGCTACTTATTTTTAAGAATACCATACCATACAATCTCTATTTTGGTAAGTACACAATCATTCACATTTATGTCAATAAAAGAACGTTTTACTTCATGATAATAACTATCCATACTACAAGTATGTAAAGAGGTTTATTCTCACAAGTTATTGCTGGAAGAAGTCCTTCAAAAACCACTGCAGTGAAAATGTCGAAGAAAAGTACCAATTCTTCAGATTTTTTCACCACTGTTTAGTATGCATTATCCTTATAACTTTGTATGTCCATGTTTTAAAAGAGCTGCTCCTTCAGATGACGCTAACTCTGCGGTGTTCCCTTCCCAGGCTGTGATTCCGTAAGCAGTTACATCAGGGCTGTGAATTGTCTCACTGTCTTTTCACTCTCCCTTTTTAGTTCTTCAATATGGGCATCCAGGCGCTCTAGAATATGATGAGACCTCAGTTCCTCCTCTTCCAGAAATCTGGCAGCTATCGAACCCAGGGGAGACACGGGCACGGAGTACTAGGCGAGAGACAAATTGTGGCATGTGTAAGTCAGTAGAACTTTAGATCCTGAAGATTAACTATTCATGATATTTTCTAACTAGTAATATTAAAAGGTAATTTCTCCCCAAAGACATATTTGTTTTCATCTTAATGACAAGAATAAAGGAGTGAAGAAATCCTGAAAAAAGTAACATACATTTCTCTTTCTGACTTAAATTATATCAATGTGAAGTACGAAATCAATAGAATAAATTATTAGCTGTTGGTCTGAAGGTATCTCAATTTAGAATTATATGCCATGCTACTGCACAGAAGAGAATATAATTAATGCATATTATTTCAAATTTATTTTTTTTTAATTTTACTTTAAAATATGTTACCTTCACTTTTAAGTACTGAAAATCTACCAATAATTGATGCCACTTAAAATCAATCCCCTAAAATTCTAGTTCACAGTCTTTTATTTGAAACTCTTGGTTCCAGTGGTGTTTCAGAATTCACACTGCAGATAACTTAGGAAATGTGCTACACGCAGGCCATCGTCACATTAGTGAACAGATGCCTCACCCACAGGAAACACACACAACAGATGGGCAAATGCATATCTCTTCACCTAGACTAGAACCCCAAATCCTAGAAACAGCTCAGCCTGGGAGATTCCATACTCTATTCTACACCAGAGAGATGAGATTCAAAGGTGCTGAACGGCTCCCTCAAGGCCCCCCTACCAAGTTGGTGACTCCATTGCTTTGCTGCCCTGTGTGTCCACACCTGAGTACGGACATGCCATGATGAAGCTCGGGAACAGTCACATCTACAGTTAACACAATCCCTGGATAGTGAGAATCTGCTATATTAACTTGGTAATCAGAGTTACATCCCATAAGCAGATATATTAGTGTTTCTGAAGTGAAATGGATGGAGCCTCTCATCCAAAAAAGAAAACCACATCAGTTCAAGTCAGGGAAGATTTTAGTATCAAAAATTTTTGTTGAGAACTTGGGGAAAAAAGTTTTCAGAGTTTTCTGGATTTCAGAATTATATATACATTAAATGAGGACTTTAAAACTAAAAGAAAACTTTTCCTTGGACTAGTTGGCACACTAAAATGTAAAGCTACTGAACTTTCACAAACACAGACCTGACCACAGTTGGTCACAGAACCAGCCGGCACAGGCTCCTTCAGATGCTCTGCGCCCGCCACGGGTACCACTCCACCCTCCCACTGCTTCTAGCACAGAAGAGGCCCTCTCTGAAAAAGGTGCGAGGAGCTGCTATTTGAATTACGGCTAAAGACAAATGGATACCTGCAACTTATGCGACATTTGGGAACCAGGGTATGTTCTGGAAAAGTCTTGGCTAACTGTGTCCTTATAAGCCACACTGTGAGAATAATAAGGGCATTTATGATAAAGAGCCAATAATAAAAATACTCTCTTTATCCTTCCAATAACTCAGAGAGCTCAGTGAGTGAAGCATCAGACTTTTAATCTGTGGGTCCAGGGTTCAAGTTCCTGTTCAGTCACTTAGTTATCACAATCACTAAGGGAATCAATACAGAAATTCGTCAAAAAACTAAAAATAGAAATTTCATTTGACCCAGCTATTCCCTTCTAAATCTTCCCCAAACAGGAAGATATCAGGGGGCCGGGGAGATGGCTCAGTAGAATAAGCGCTTCCCTGGAAAGCACAAGGGCCTGAGTTCAATCCCTGGTTCCACCAAAAAAAAAAAAAAAAAAGGAAGCTATCAGATTACAGCAATATATGCACACTCATGTTTATAAAAGCACAATTCACAACAACCAGATCTTGTAAGCCATTTATATGCCCATCAGCAGAGGAATGGAGAAAGAAAATGTGGCAGACACACAGAACGGAGGACTATTCAGCCAAGGAGGAGAATAAATTTGAGTCATCTGTAATAAAATGGGCGCACCTTGGAACTATAATGCTAATGAAATAAATCAGATACAGGTTAAACATCACACTGTTTCTATTATATGAGAAATTCAATAATAAAGAACTTTTTAAAACTTTATTTGGTACAGGGTGCTGCTACACAGTTCAGGCTTGTAGTGATCCTCCTGTCTCAGCCTCCCCAGTATTGGGATTACAGGTGTGCACCATCACACCCAGTTTCAGTGGCCAGCACAGCCTGCCCAGATTCCGGGGCACAGCATGCAATACCAGGGATCAAACTTGGGTCCTTGCAGTTGCCAGGCAAGTGCTTAGACTGCTGAGCTATCTCTCTAGCCCAACATACAAATAATTTAAAGAGCAAAATAAAAGACAGATTAAAGGAAACAGAGAAGTAGATCTTCTAGAGATGGAATGGGGATCTAGGGATGAGGGAGAAGGGAGGGAATAAAGGGAATGGGAAGTGAAAAGGAGTAAGATGCGTTATGTACATGTGCCAAGTCTCCACAATGAGTGTATTCACTGTCACAAACATGTACTAATAAAAAAATAAAACTAATAAGCTAGAAAGATGAGAAAGTTTCCATACCAAAGATACAAACTCCTCTTGGTCATTTGCACCATCAGACATACTGTCAGAAAAATTGGCATCATTTATGTCAAGCAGTGAAGGCAAAGAATGAGTGTGACCCAGAAAGTAGGAAGGCAAAGAGATGGTAGAGCTGCATGAGCTGAGGCGAGGACTCAGGGGGCTGCAGACCCTGGCCACGGGGCCTGTGCCGTCCGGCGCTCGTCCTCTCGGAGAGTGCAGACCTGTTGTGCAGTGCTCAGTCTGTATCCCATCATGTCTGTGCTGGCCATGGGTTGGCCTGAATAGCAGGTTAGAAAACAAGACAAATGAAAAACTGCAATGACTTCTCTCTTTCCAACAGAAATCTAGGGTGCTAAGCATACACAATGAGGCTAAGCTGTAAGGCTTTATACATTCTAAAATGGAAACCCCCACTCAGACCAGGTGATCTTTTACTTACGTGGATTCCAAAAATCCAGTCCCCACTGCCAGGCCCTGTCCTCACGCACCATATCGGGGGGACAAGTAACTACCAGAGAAACCTAGAGTGGCCGCAGCTAGGGTGGGGGCGCCATGTACATGAGCAGGCAGGAGTGGGGTGAGGCTGTCAGCAGGGCTTTTGGCAGGAAGACGGAGAAGCCATATACTATGAACTGCAGCCAGGCGGCTTTCACCAAATGCCACGGGAATGGCCTGCAATGCAGTAACCAAAAGTACAGTGGAGGACTTTTATAAAAGCCAAGTTTTCCATCAAATACAGTCTTATATTGCCAATACAGGTCTAGGACAGGCGTTGAGAAGGTGGGAGGCAGCATGAAAGGGCACAGTAGAATCAAGATGTTCTAGTACCTGCAAGCCGAGTGCAGACTACTAATGCTCTAATGAAAGTGTTATGCGATCTCCTCTACATCTGTAAGTCTGACTGTAGCTCTCCTTGTATACAACATACTTCAGAACTAAACTGAGCCCTTTGATGATGACTTAATTTTTCTAAGTCCTAAGTTACTATCTAAAAAGTGAGAATTAATTGCAAAAAATACATATTCAGAAGAAACTTTACTTAAGCTCTGTATTCTTGAACTCAGTTGTTCTGCTGAGTGCAGGTTTAAAGACACTGTCTTTTTTTTTGCACGTCTGTGTAGCGATCTCCAGCTGAGATTTGGTATCCATTAAATCTTTCTGTAGTTGCTGATTTTCAGACAATAATTTATTTAATGTCTCAATATAATTCTCCTGGAGTTCTGCTAGTGAAATTTCTTTTGCCTAATAAAAAAGAATACTAGAGTCACTTAATTTGTACAACAATACTTGTCATGTGATATTTCTGGCTGAAAAATTCCATTTGCTTCAGTTACTACTAATCAACCTATGGCTTTACTGTAACTAGAAAAAGTGAAGATCTTTGCCTTCAGTCCTCTTGAAACTACCAGGGATGAAGGATTCTGCTTCGTAAGTGTAAATGGGAAGGCCAGGGGTGGCAGCACAGAGCTGTAATGGAGCACTCAGGATGCTGAGACAAGAAGATCGCTGGGAGTCGGAAGCCCACCTGGGCTACATGGTGAGTTCAAGGCCAGCCTGAACTGTGGAGCGACACCCTATTTAAAAAGGAGGAGTGGGGCTGGCAAGTAAGAGGTACAGTGGGCTTCCTGGTGTGCCCACAATATCCCAGTAGCTTGAGGGACAGAACCAGCAGGGAGGAAATGTGCAAGGATCAGAAGCAGGGAGAAGAAACCAGCATCCACAGACCTTCTGCAAGGGAAAGGCTTAAGAGCCCCAGAACACCCACGGGGAAAAACAAGAGGCCTAGCTAAGGGAAGAAACTTAATTCTATCAAGCAATTCTGGTTCTGAAAGAAAAAGAATTCTGTCTGGCAGTGACAACTTTTAAATAAATTCTCTCAAACACATTTATATAATTTTAGCATCTACTCTTGTATCTGAAATAGAATTCAAATTTATAATGAGATTTACCATCCCAATCTGCTCTTAGCTCTGTGATGATTAATTTTATTTTTCTTTATACAGGAACTTTTACCCTAATACACATATTTTAATTAGCAAATGTATGATCTTTAGAGTATGCTAGTTAGCCTGGTCTTTTCTAAAAAAAAGAAAAACTTTCTGAAAGTAAGCTGATCAAGAGTTATCTGACAGATGAAAAGCTTTTTTTTTCTTTTTTCTTTTTCTTTCTTTCTTTCTTTTTTTTTTTTTGTGTGGTACTGGGAATTGAACTCAGGACCTTGCGCTTGCCAGGCAAGCACTTACTCTATTGAGCTATCTCCCTAGCCCTTTGACAGATGAAACTAACAGAAACATAAACTTTAAACTGTCTCTGTGCTAGTGAAGACAGTGAGTTATAAAATCTTTCAAAAAGTTGACAATGCCAAATAAAATCTCTGAAGAAAATTTACAGGACATAACAGCTAAACTACAAACAACTGTCAAATTTTAAAATGTAAGTATTTTATTAGAACTGCTGTTTCCATTAAAGTAATTAATGAAAATAGGCATTTTTAACCCAAATATTTAACCAAATACTATTTTTTGCAAAAATAATTCTGCCTTCCAAGGTGGTAAAATGCAAAGGGGCACATTCTCATAATTATTTCTAAAAATATGTTCAATGTGTTCACACTGCATGTAACTTTGAAAGCAGAGTGAGCTTAAATTGCTGACAGAATTTTCACCAGCCAGTTTGACGTCAGATACCATTAAAAATACTTTATTTTAAAAAGATACTACTTGTCTTTCCAGGTAACTGTCAAAATTTTTCAAGTATAACTCTGTTAACAATAATTACAGATAAGTGAATATGAGAGATAATATAAAAACTGAGCAGCAAGAATGGGCTTGTTCAAGGAAAGAAGGGTATTAACAGAGGTTTCAGAGAAATTTGCTGAACAGAGTCTCCAGCCATAATCTCGCTTAGAGCGCCTGTGAGGTCTCAACCCTTACATATGAACAGTAAGCACTGAATGCATTAAGTCTCTTAATCAAATACGGCCAAATCCTGAGTCCTCTGGGTACTCCATAAGTGAAAATCAGAAAGCTTCCTGGATGCTTCATCTGCCGTGAGCAGGGGCACACAGCAGTCTGCTGTCCAACCACCCCACACCCATCTACTCGGACCCATTTGCCCCTTCATCCGTCCGATCTGCTCCCTTACACAGCTACCTTACCCCTTGAAAATTTCTATCTATTATTTCCTCCCATACTTTTCCATTTATGTGTGCTTGTGCTTTTTAAAACAATCTTTTCACTGAACTATTACAGGGATTTGGGGAGAAAACAAGACTAGATAAACATCTGCTATCTTAAAGGACAGCATAATATCTCATTGTACAGACATTCAAACTAGCCATTTAAACAAACACCTAGTTTATCTCCAAACTTTAACTATGCCACCAAATACACAGCTCCTCTAGGAAAAGTCTTTGGAAATGCAAACTAATAGGAACACTGAAGAACAATTCAGCAATGACTCAAAATCAGAAATGTCCCTGATCTAAGAGTTTAATTAAGGGCTATATCTATTTAGAAGATTGGTATGTATTGCTAAATGTCCTTCTGAAAGGTCTTATCAATGTATTTGCTCCTTAACATGACATAAGAGAGCCTGTTTCCCTACATCTTTGCTAACATGGTTATGTAATAAGTTTTAAACGTCATCATCAAATGAACTTCTAAGAGTATTTTTTATTCTTGATTATTAGGGAGGTCTAATAGCTTTCCTTGTTCACTTGATATTTATAGTACTTCTATGAATTACTTATTTTACCTCTTTTTCTACTGAATTATCTTTTTCTTATTACCTCCGTAGTAAAATCCTATATATTGTTAGTTTACAGTAACCTTTATCTGTTTACAGATTATTTTCTCTCTCTAGTGATCTTTTTATGGGGCCTATTGCCATCCAGAGGTTTACAGTTTTATGTTGTAAAATCCCTTATGGTTTTATGGTACTTACAGAATCTGCTTATGTGAAAGATTGCTAAAATAGGCCCCCCTTTTTTTGTTAAAATAAAGTATTGTTCTAGCCTTTTACACTTTCTTCTATCTCACCATCTGTAACTATGAGATGAGAAGCAAATAGGAAACAATGTGCAATCATACATATTTTGAGAGACATAATACTCTCCAGAAGCACAGAAAAAAGAATTTCTACAATCTCTGGATCCTTGACTGGTATTAAGAAAGGATGAGTCAGGGGCCACGGAGATGGCTCAGTGGAATAAGCGCTTCCCTGGCAAGCGCAAGGGCCTGAGTTCAATCCCTGGTTCCACAAAAAAAAAGAAAAGTTGAGTCAGGCCACATGTATTCTACTGAAAATGCTAAGTCTTAAAACAGTTAAGTATAACACTGCTTATACCTCACTCTTAGCTGTCACTTTCTAGCTTGTATTGTAACTTATGTGCATTTTATTCTCCCTACAAAATAATTCTAGTGTCTTGAAGAAGAATCTTTTTATTCATCTTTGTGTTCATTATAACATGAACTAAAATGTTTTGACATAAAAGACTATAAAATATTGACTAAATTAACTGTAACTTTAAAAGTAAATGAAACTAAGTTATTTAAAAGATGATATAATACAGATACTGGAATGAAATTATAATATACCAATAATAAAACCAGCATGTAACATTTATTGCAAACTAAGTATCAGTACTACAAAAAGTTCTTTATATATACTTTCCTACTAAGTATACAGGCATTTTATCATGAAAATAACATTAAATAAAACGTGCCTATGGCCAAGGAGACAGCTCAGTGGCTTAAGTACCTGCCTGGCAAGTACAAGGTCCTGAATTCAATCACCAGTAACAATAACAAAAACAAAAAACAAAACAAAACCTTCCTACTGATGGAACAGAAAATTACTTTTTGCTTACTTTTATCCTTGTTTTGATTTCACTTTACTTGACTAAATTTTTGCTGGGCCTGGTGGTGCATGCCTGTAATCCCAGCACTCATGAGGGTAAGGGAGGAGGATCACCATGAGCTGAAGGTCTGCCTGGACTACACAGTAAATTCAAGGCCAGCCTGAACTACACAATGAAACCCTGTTGAAGGAAAGAGGGAAAAAGGGAAGGAGGGAGGGAGGGAGGGAGGGAGGAACAGACAGAGAGGGAGAGAGAAGATCTCTCATCTTTATAATAGCAATATTTGCAACATGCGTTTTAAGGGCTTTCTGAATAGAACAACTTAAATTTCTATGTATGTACCTCATGTAAACCCAATTCCAATTTCATCACCATTTCAGAAAGATGACGATTTTCTAATTTGAGTGATTCCAACTGATTCAAAATTTCCTGAGAAAGGAAAAGTAAAAACAAACAAAAATAATAAATAAAAATCAAGAGCATTTTACAAATTTTTTCCACCATAGCTTCCATTAGGCTGTTATACTCTTCATTCATACACATACATACACACAACACAAAAGCACACACTTTCTAAAAGAATGTACTCACGGTGCTATCAGGTGATGTAACACGCATGTGAGTAAACATTAATGCACAGCGATGAACCAGGCAGGACAGAAGCAGCCACACGCCCACTTGATGGCCAACCCCAAGCCACCCTCCCGCGTTAGCTTCCTCCACCAGGCAGAACTGCACTTGTTTCCCAGAACAGCTTATGGCCAGTGTTTACTCTCCTCAGCTGCTTCACCTCCTATTTGGAAAGACATCTCTGACATCCTTTGGCTTCGTTCTTCCTCAGTAAAAGCGACCTGGTTAACTCCCTTATTGCTACTTTTATTTTAAGGTCTATTCCAATAGTTTTTTTACCCTAAGTGAAAAGTATACTAAATTTGCTGTTTACTCTGTGCCTTTCCATAACAACTGCTCGGTTTCTAGGGGGTTTCAAAAGCCAGCCTTAGGCAAGGACTCCTACAGGTAAATGCCTAACCTTGATTATAACCTTGCACTCCAAGCCTTCGGTGCCACTGACTAGTAGGTTACTATCATGTAAGAGAGTCTAGCCTTTATTTCAAACCAAATGTGCCAAATTAATGTCCCCTCTCCCAGCTTCTCTATGTGTACCTTTCATACAAATTCATCATTCTCACCCGAACTTCCTATCTTTTGTTTCATTACAAAGCATTCCTTTCTACTCCACTGCCTAACTTTAAATCCTGAGTGACACTTTCCTTAACTCTATCTACCTCATGCTCCCAGTCTAATCAAACACAAAACTCAATTTTACCAGCCAAGTATCTGCAGCACTCATCCGTATCTCGCTCACTGCAAAGAGCTTCTACAGCAGCCTCTGAGCTCATTCTATGTGAGGCATAGCTCACATTCTAAGCTCACTCTGAGCTCGCTCTGCCTCTGCTCATTCTGTGTGTGGCCATAGCTATTCTCTACTGACCTCAGAACCACACTAACACTCGTTCTCCCACAGCTGACAGGGCCCTCTGAGATCTACCCCCTGCTCTCCAGCCTTATTACTTGCATTCACCCCAAGTGTACACCAGTTTCAACCACAGCCAGCAACTCACACTCTCTCCAAGACTCTGGTATGTACTTATCCCCTGCCTGACACGCTGCTCCTCCCCATCACCCACTTATCCCGTCAGCGTTGTTGCTTCCAGAAATCACAGCGTCCAGGAGCCTTGGAGTCCAGCGATCTAGATCTAAGCTCCCTGGGTGTTCTCCTAGTGCCACACACACACACACACACACACACACACACACACACGACAGAGCCACCCATTTGTCTGTATCCATCTCACCTCCCCACCAAGCAGCATTAGACTACTTGCTGTCAAGCCCCCAACCCAAAGCAGCTGTAATGAAAATTTGCTGAACTAAACATTACAGAAACTCTATCTTTACTAAATTCAATCTTCAAAAATAAGCATCCAATAAAGTTTTCTTTAAGGCTTTACCTTATGCTCCATTGCTTTTTCTTCTGCCTTTTGCATCTCTGCTTTGAGCTGCTTTTCCATGTCTGAGGAAGAACATTTGGCAGAAGCAATAGTGATATCTCGCTGATGTAACTCCCGAGTCAGCTGGGAAATTTCCATCTTCATACCTTCTAGTGCAGAGCTGTAAGTCTGTTCAGCTTGTAAAATCTGTTCTTTCAACTACAAAGAAGCAGGCAGGAAAACATCAAAGAGGAAGTATTGACATAGAAAAAAATATTGATAGTTAATAAAACAATGTTTACCTTACTTCAAGACATAAAATTTTTCCTAGATTAAAGGAGCTAGAGTAAATCTGCATAAAATTAGCAATTTAGCAAGTGGCCCACCTGTGTTGAAGGAGGTTATACTCAAACATTTATTAGCTCTCAAGAGAAAAAGAGGTGAGCTGAAGATCAGTTTCAAAGAGTGCACACACATCAGAGTGCAGCACCTGTGACCTTCCTTTTTTTAGCAGCAAATCTGAAAATTCTGCTCAGGGTTTTCTGGTCTACAGAATATAATAGATAATAAACAGACAAGAGTAAAGGCCTGGGCTATAGCTCTATCATGGGGCACTTGGCTGACAGGAATGAAGACCTAGGTTAAGTACCACTGTATCACAAAAAACTGACAGGTCAGGACAGGATAGGGAAGAGGAAGGGAAGGAAAAAGGAAAGGATGGGAGGAAAGGAAAAGGCAGGGAGGGAAGGGAAAGAAAGACAAGAGAAAGAAACTCTAATCTTAAAGTAAAAAAAAATAATAATAATCTTGAAGAAGAAATACAAATATACAAGTCAACAGATTAAACAGCCAAGCTTGTTCACATAGAGATAAATAATTCTGCATAGCTCAATAGGCACTGCACTGAGGACATTAACCACCTCACTGCGCAAAAGGAAGTATATTTTATATCCATGTTTAGCTTATAAGAAAATATTAAATGACAACTCATATAATTATATCTTTTTACAAGAAAAAAACTATAAATGGTTTGGAATCTTTTTCAGTTAAAACTTGTGAAAAATACAGTTTCAGAATTCAAAGTAGGCAGGCTTCAATGATCTTGAAAATAACGATAGGGCATCCCTAAGGATACTGAAAAAGCAGGCCCTTTTCCTAAGCACGGTGCATGTGCTTTCCCACTCCTGGGTATCAAGTGTTCTTTGCGCTACATTTTTCTCTCAGGAAAATGACCCCTACCATTTCCCAACCCACGCCTCAGTCTATAATACATCCGACTGGGTGCTCCCCCACATGCAGGTGTCTACCTTCTTAATCTCTGCCCTGTACTCATTGTTATGTCCTTCCATCTTCTTCAGTTCTTCATATTTTTCCATTAGCTCTTGGCTCAGCTGTTTACATGTTGCGCTCACAGATTCCAAGCTGTACGCCAAAAATATCACATATTTAAAATAAAATGAAACCCCTGAACTTGGTAATCAGATTATCTAATTTACCCTCTTGATGTCCAAGATACATCCTATAATATCTTAAACACCATTTCCGACCCCAAATTAAAACTCATTTCCAATCTTCTTATCATGAGAGGGAGCTAAGTGCAGCTCAAACCTTTGAAAATACTTTTGACTTTTATATTTATCTATAGTCTTTCCTTCTGCTTAAAATTAAACTGATTACAAAACTCTAAAGATAACAGCAACACAGCTAATTTTTACTTGCTAGTTATACTACAGAAAGTTATCATACAGCTGCCATCATAATCTTAGTCTTTGTTATATCTGATTATGCAATTCCATCCTATAAACAGAATAACTTTTAAAGTGCTTTCACTCACCACCCTTACTCAATAATCAAGCCCCCATCAGACGTAAGAACAATATAACATATCAACACTTGATGGAAAATAACTGTTCCATGTTTTGCCTAAGATGTTTGATATTCAGACAGACAGTGAGGTTAAGCTCAACTGCCTAGGTTGTAGGACAATAACAATAAGCTTCTCTTCTGGAAGGTTAACAAATTAAGTATGCAGATCAAAAATTACAGAAAAAGAAGGTCTGCAAGGACAGCCAACATTTTGGCCCTAGCCTTTCAAGGTCAATGAAGACTCAGGACATAGGAGAACCTGTACTGTAACATCATGTAACTCAGTTGTGTCCCAAATTTCCTGATCAAGGAGATTAAGGGGCCAGAGAGGAAGGTGATCAATGATGTAGAGTGTGCCTAAGGAGAGTCACATGGAGAGAAAACATTCTCTCAGGCTTTCAAAGAGAGCAAATCGATCAAGCAATGGCCGTGACTCATCCACATGGCTGACACTGACAAAGGATCTATAAACTGCAGTACAGGGTTTCAAGAGAAATACTGAGGGGATCTGACTGACCTTGGCAGATACAAAAGCTACATTTCTTGTTATATAGGTCTTGCTTTACCTCGTTTCTTAACCATCCAGCAGAAAAGCATAAAAACGAGGTATAAAAAGTAAAGCCGTATTAATATGCTGAGATGTAAAAGGCTCAAGTCAACAACTTCTGACACTGCCAGTCTTACAGAAAATCCACTACTATCATGGACTACTGGACTATATTGGAATATTTTGCTGAACTCACACACCTTTATCTGAATGACAACAAAATACCATTTTCTAAAAAACTAAACAAAAAAAGGGGATACAAACGAACAACCATTTTGTATCTGTATATTCAAAATAGGATAGATATGCAGCTACATTTTCTTAATTCAATGAATAGGAAGATTTGTTCTAACAGTATTTGTGGACATGATATCATGTCTGCATCTTGTACAATGTATAACCACTAAGACAACAATATGCAATGTATTAATTATTGAAACTGTCCTACTAATCGGTTTTGAAACTGTCTCATTGCTATTTGTTTCTCAATAAAATTATTTTTAAAAAAGAAAAATCAACTATATGGGAAAAAAAAGACATAAGAACCACAAAGGCACCAAACCTCTCTCACCTCACAGCCCATTTCCACTAAGATAGTCTTTTTGCTACTAGTTGACAGTTTGTCTCCCATGTGCCATCTGCTATGCCTGCCTTCTCTTCATTATGTCACCACCTTGACCACAAAGCACTCCTTTCTCCTCCCACCTGGCACTGAGTCAACACCCTCTCAAGACCTGATCTCAAGAATCAGATCAGAATTTACCTGACAAATCTTTCTTCTCATTGAATTAAGAGAAAGTAGTTGTATATCTATCCTAACTACTCTGCATATACAGATACTAATAGTGTTTGGACAGGATATCATGTCTGCATCTTGTACTATGAATAACCACTAAGAAGACAACAACATGCAATGTATTAATTATTAAAACTGTCCTATTAATCGGTTTTGAAACTGTCTCATTGCTATTTGTTTCTCAATAAAATAATAGTTTTTAAAAAAAGTAATTTACCTGACAAAACCATGCAGCCCTCACTCTCCTAACCACCTTAAATACCATTACTTCCAGTTCTTATGGCTAAAATGTAAAAACTGTTTTAAATTTCTCCCAGCTCCCTTACTATGTATATTTTCTCTCTCAAAGTACAGATTCTACGATTACAATAAAACAATGTCTTTTCTTATTGCCCCTGAAATTTAAGTTTTCATCCCCTTAATCTCTAGAGCACATGACTCTAGACAATTCCATAAATGCTTCTTAATACTCAACTGGGTTATGATTTCCCCAACATACCACACTTATCACATATGCTATCTCTCAAAAATATTATCTTTGCAATGCAACAGCATAAAAACCACTGATTAAATCCCCCACTTCCTTCTTTAGGGACTATTTTGTTCAAAAAAAACAAAAATTGTTTCAAACAATGTCTTAATAAAAAAATAATAAAGCAACTACTTTTTCTACTTCTTTTTTGAGAGAAACCTATTTAAGCCATTGTTTTATTATTGAACACTGGTTTTTACATCCATTTACTCCAATTTTACTTAGTTCTAAAAATCTAAAATGTTCATTTATTTAGTACTTAGTATATAACTATAACATGCCCAACACTGAGACTGAGAGAAGAAAACTTACAACCATCTTTCCTAACTATAGATGGTAAGATCAGGGCTCAAAGATGCTCAGGAATCCAAGGTAATGCTAAAGCTCAGCAACCAAACAAAGGGTTCAGAACCCCATGGCAGAACAGCAAGATATATGAACATTTGAAGATTACTGAACACCTAATCAATAAAAAAATCTATGATAAATTATAAATTTTATGACCAATATCATAAATACTAAGCTTTATTTATTCAATCTAAAGCATTCATAATTGTAACAAAGAACACACTATGTTTTGAGAAAATGTGTGGCACATATGCTTAACAGGCAAAAATTTTTAGAAAATATTTAGTGATTTCCAGAAACAGAAATAAAAGTACAAGCAACAACAGAAGTATTACTTAAAGATAACCTAGCTAGGCATAATGGGGCACACTTGTAATCTCTGGGAGGCTGAAGCAGAAAGACTGCAAGTTTGAGTGCAGCCTGCACAACTCAGTGACTTAACAAGACCATGTTTCAAAATAAAAAACAAAGGGTTGCAGATGTAGCTCAGTGCAAAGGCCTTGGGTTTAATTCTCCAGTATGTATCACTACAAAAGGATGAAATGAGTGAGGTAGGATAGCATATACCTATAGTCTCAACTATTTGGGAAGCTCAAGTGGAAGATTACTTGAACTCACAAGTAATGTAAATTGAGACCCATGTAGGCAACATGGCAAGACCAGTCTCAAAAAGAAAAAGAAGGGCCGGGGAGATGGCTCAATGGAATAAGCGCTTCCCTGGCAAGCGCAAGGGCCTGAGTTCAATCCCTGGTTCCGTAAAAAAAAAAAAAAATCAAGAAGAAAAAGAAAACAAAAAGTATAAATGGCAATTTTTTATTGTTCTGTGTTTGCACAAAAAGCTAACAGTTTGTGCACTTTTCATCTTTTACATACAAAAAATTTTTGTACAAAGGATCAAAATTCATATGTATAAAACAAAATGTCAAACTCTTCCCAGTCAAAAAGTCTAGACATATGACAAATAGAATTTCCTAAGTACTACAGTGCTACGAGCTGGCTGCATTAGAGTATGGTATAGGTTACGGTTCAATTAACATCCAAGGAAGTCTCAACAACACTGCACACAGAAAGGAGCGGCAGCAGCACATGTAAACTGTGACCTTTCTAAGAACAGTGTCAGCAAGGAGGTAGAAGGAAGCCCAAACGAGGGAGTTCTAAACAACAACAATAAAAAGGCCGAGCATGGTGGTGCATATCTATAATCCCAGCTCTCAAGAGACTGGGACATGAGTATCACCATAAATTCAAGGCCAGCTGGGGCTACACAGTGAAACCTTGTCTCAAAAACAAAACAGAACAAAACAAGCAAACAAAAATAGAGAAAAGGTGAAGGAGAGAAAGTGAGTACAAACAACTCCTTTAAAGAATTTGATTTGCAAGTAAAGTAGAGAAATGTGGAAATACCGGGAGGGAGATACAGGATTGAAGGAACATTTTGAATTTTTTCCAAAAGCACATTTTATATCACTGGAAACAATTCAGCAAAGAGGCAGAACTTTGTGACGTAGAAGATGAAAGAAAGACTGCAGAACAGGATGGAAAGGGTGTGTAAGCCTCAGCAGACGGGCACCCACCATTTGCACGAACAGATTTATGGGCACAGATGCAGGCAGACTGGCAGAGTTAGTAACAGAGAGATTAGGAGGTTCTTTTTTAATTGTTTTTCTCAAAGAAGAAAGATCATTTGTGGATGCTAGAAAAAGATTATTTTTCGGAAGACTGTCGGTTTACTTTATCAATGCAATGACCAAAACTTCATAGTAATTAGAGGTTTTGCAATGCATATATAATTATCTACCTGCCTTCTAGACGAGTCACCTCTGCTTGCAGGAGTTCTTCACTTGTATGGGTAAAATCCAACTGGGAAAGCACACTGCCCAAGTCGCCCTGCCCTTGAGAGGCGAGCCTCCTCTCAGCCTGAGAGTCTTCCAGTGGTCTGTAAAACGACACAAAATGATTAGCATAGGACATTCATACTGAAAGCAAAAGCAATGAGTAGGCAAGCTATTTCCCAATCCAACTGTTTAGAGTAAGCTCTCTGGTACTCTATTTTCTCTCCTACTTTACTGAAAGAATTGGGAGAGTAGAGTCAAGACTCTTCCTTTAAAAATTCAGTGGCAATTTATTCCTTCCTTATCTGGGATTTGGCATTTTTTCTAAGGGAAAAGGCAAATCAATTTGTGACAATACCTTGTGCCACAGAAACAAATTTCAAGTGCGTTCTGACGAGAATAAAAGTGCGCCAGATATAAATTAAGCGAAAGGAGTGTAGCTCACACTTAATTTTCTACCACAAACCTCTCGTTTCATTAACTGATACATAAAAATTAGTTTTACCCAGGTGTGGTGGCACACACCTATAATCCCAACACTCAGGAGGCTGGGTAAGAAGACCACTGCAAGTTTCAGACCAGTCTGGGCTACAAAGCTCAACGCTAGCCTGACCTGCATGTTGAGACCTTATCTCAAAAAGACAAAAAGAGGGGCCTGGGAGATGGCTCAGTGGAATAAGCGCTTCCCCGGCAAGCGCAAGGGCCTGAGTTCAATCCCTGGTTCCACAAAAAAAAAAAAAAGACAAAAAGAAAGAAAGAAATTAATTTAATGTTATGAGTGTTTTTAAAAGGGCTAGTTCAATAGACGGCTGTTCGTGACGATGAGCAGCACTAACCTACTCTTCTTTGGAAGAGAGGCTTTTCAGGAGTTATGGCCACAATTCCCTTCACATCACTAGCTTCACCAACAGGATAATCTAAGTAATTCCTAACTTTCTAAATATCACAATCTTTGTTAGAAACCCAAAATAAAAGGGAAAAAAATTACCATGCAAAACTTTTTACTATATAAAAATCTAACACACAGGGGCCAGGGAGACGGCTCAGTGGAATAAGCGCTTCCCTGGCAAGCACAAGGGGCTGAGTCAATCCCGGGTTCCACAAAAAAAAAAAAAAAAAAAAAAAATAGTGTGTGAGTATGGCCTCAGTGGTTCAGGAAATCTAGCTGTGCACTCCCAGAAACACACACACACACACACACACAACAAAAAAAAAAAAAAAAAAAAAAAAAAAATCTAACACACAAATTAAAATGGAGCAAGAAAACCCAGAGTAAAATGAAACACAAAATTGTGACTATGCAATATTAAAACTGCTACTTGATGCTAAACCAAGTGGGTAAGATAAATAACATCTAAGATAAAACACACCTTATAGCATCTCCTAGTTGCTGGGTGTTGGTTCCCTTTGCCTGTAACTTCTTTCGCATCTTTGCCTCACGGATGAAATTTTCATGAGACTGAAGATTTGCCTTCAATTCTCTTTTTTCTTCCTGCAGAGTCTGCAAAATACTCAGAAAAAAAGTCAGATATTATTAAAATTGTCCTTCAGTTTTCTATTCTTCCAGCATAGCCTGCAAAATACTGAGAAAAAGTCAGAGTATTACAGGTTTTCTACCTCATAAAAAAGGGAGCCAGGGATTCCGACTATAAGTTATATGATAGGCACAATATTAATACAGCTATCAATACCTGAACTATCAGCTACAGAATAGAGAAGAAACTATAGATTTTTGGAACCTAGTTTCAGGTTAAGTATCTTCTCTTAAAACACACATTTTTATAATTCCAGTAATTTTAAAACATACCTCCTAATTCACAATATCTTGTATACTTTGAATCTTATTTACTTGTTCAGATTCTCACTCTAGTGAGAAAATATGATGTTTACATATATGGGTTGAATTTATTTCACTTATGATTGTGGTCTCAAGTTGCATCCATTCACCT